GAGTTAACTGTTGTCTCTTCCTCAGTCACAGCTAGTCAGGGCTATTGTTCGTTATTCTTCTTCTGTTCTTTAGACCCCGGTGGAGTTGAAAGCCTTGACTGAACCCACGTCCATCTTTTTCACTTAACTCCACAATCTAAATCAGTATTACTTATACTTACAGTCACTTATATTCTAATTACCTATTATTTCTGCTTATAATCACAACAGTTACAATTATGTACTACATATCAAATATACACACATATTATAATTAACGATTACCTATACTTATAGTCACGCTTGCCTGCGGATCGGAAGGTCGTGGGTTCGTGTCCTGACGGAGCAGGACTTTTTTTTTTAAAATGACCTCGGCTTCCAGGTCGACCGAGCCTTGAGTGGGTACCAGGTGCAGTCCTGGGAAGTAAAGGCGCCCGGTGTGATACTGACCATATTACCCACCAAGTGCCAATTGGTCTATAAAATAAAGATGAAGCCCTATTTGCCCAGTACGCCTGGAGGCGTGGAAAAGGGTCCTTTTTTTATACTTACAGTCACATACTTTCTAATTACCTGTTACTTCGGCTTATAGTCATATCTATTATAATTACTATTATCTCTACATACAGTAGCAGCTACTCTGGTTAACTGTTACCTTTGATTATAATCACAACAACATGGGCGCTGTGCGGTCTCGAGGTATGGAGTGCTAGAGTTCCCGGGTACAAACCCCGGTGAAGGCTAGGATTTTTTTTACGTTGACTTCTAGTTATTTTCCCTGGTCTCTGGGTAGCAAGACCGGACGCCCGTGTGTATTGTTGCGCACGTAAAAGCATCTATTTGCATTTAGAAATCGAAAAAGAGTAGCTTAACGGCGCTGCTCGGGCAACATTTTGAGTTGAAAATCTACACAAAAGTATTTTAGGATACTCGCCTCTGCCACGGAGTTTGTGCACTGCGCTAAGGCTCTTCAGACTCAGGCTTGAGTTAGAAGTAGAACAGAGCACTTATGGGTTTACACCCGTGTGCTATGATGTTGATCCGTCGACTAAACTAAACTAAAATCTATAATCGCAACAATTTCAGCCATCTACTATATCTATTTACATTCCCATCAGTTCTAATTAACTATTGTTTCTACCTAAAGACATGTCTGCTCTAATTACGATTACTTCTACTTACAGTCTTTTCTATTATAATTAGCCCATTCACACAAATTATAATTACCTTTCTATCTCAGCTTATGTGTTCTAATTACCTCTTATCTCTTCTTATAGTCACATGTATTCCAATTGACTGTTACTTCTACTTATAGTTACATCTATTCTAATTGATTGCTCATCTATTGTAAAACTATTGTTTCTGCTTATAGTCTCAATTATTTCAATTATCTACTACCTCTACTTCTAGTCACACTTATTCTAATTAACTATTACAGCTTCTCATAGTCAGCTATTCAAATTACCTAGTCTCTGTTTACATTCACATCTATTTAAGAAACTAATACCTCTTCTTATAGTCCCATCTGTTCTAATAGTAACCTCTATCTAAAGACTCATCTGTTCTAGTCACTACTACTACTTATACCCATGTATATTCTTATTAATTTTTACCTCAACCTATAGTCACAGCTCTTCTAATTATCCATTACCGCCGCCTACCTAAAGTGGCACCTCTTCTAATTAACTATTACCATTACTATCTGCCGAAAGTCACAACGCTTCTAATTAACTATTATCTCTGTTTATAACCACATTTATTCTAATCTCTACTGATTGTCACAACATTCTATCAAAAGTCACATCTCTTCTAATAAACTAATTCTACGTATCCACAGTTCACTAATGGTGTCAGCGTGTCTCAAAGAGAGTATACTTCCACAAGCCAGAATCCACATTCAGAAATGATTCCCTCTGTCACTGTGAAGAAAGTGGCCGGTTCTCTAACGTCCACATCATTGTCGGTGTCTAGTGGGGATCAAATCCCAAACCTTGGAAGGACACCTCAAAGTTTCAACAATGTGGAGAAGAGACATTTTCAGCGGCAATCTGAGGAGTTTGCAGCTGACGAAAATCAGTCAGTGACTGCAGCAAGTGATAGAGGAGAGACTGAAGACAGGAGTAATTCTCAAGAGGCAGAGTACAGACACAATCTTGAAGGCGCCCGGCACGCTCTTGGAGGCGCCGGACACAATCTTGAAGACGCCGGACACAACCCTGAAGATATTTGGCACGATCCTGAGGGCACTCGACACAATCCTGAAGACAGTCAGCACAATCCTGAAGATACTCAGGACAATCCTGAACATATTTGGCACGATCCTGAAGGCACTCGACACAATACTGAGGACACTGGAAAGAATCCTGAAGATAACCTCAATAATCCTGAAGGTCATCTAAACAATCCTGAAGGCACTGGACACAATCCTGAAGGTACTCAGAACAATCCTGAAGGCACTGGGCACAATCCTGAAGATAATCGCAACAATCCTGTAGGTCTTCTAAACAATCCTGAAGGCACTGGACACAATCCTGTAGACACTAAGAACAATCCTGAAGACACTGGGCAAAATCCTGAAGGTACTCGGAACAATCCTGAAGGTCTTTTGAACAATCCTGAAAGCACTCGAAACAATCCTGAAGGCACTCGGAACAATTCTGAAGGTCTTTTGAACAATCCTGAAGGCACTCGGAACAATCCCGAAGGCACGCGGAACAATGCTGAAGGTACCCGAAACAATGCTGGAGGCACTCTGAATAATCCTGAAGAGACTCGACATAATCTGGATGAAACTCAAGAAAGAAGCAATATAACAGGAAACAAAGAATTGTCAAATAATACCATGAAAGGTTAGTGCTTCTTCTTTTCCTGTTTCATGTTTACCGACTTAAACTCCACTGGAAAGTTCTAGTTGTTCGTCCACTTCTGAACCTTGAGCTTGTTCCAGAACTCAACCAAAGAATTTTACATGCACGTCCGTTTTTCAGACCTGGCATATTAGTAAACAGACTGTTGGTTCCTTGCCTTTCAGGCAACCACACTCCAACTTTGAAGGAAGAATCCTATGTTTATATCTAGGTAGGCAGGGGAACAGGAGCCACGTTAGCGCAGTAGTTGCATCTTGCCTGATGGCCTGAAGGTACTGCGATCGAATCCCCACTGAGGCGGAATTTGCATAGATGACCCGAGCATGGTCGAATTTAGACTTGATAAGGCCATTAGCTAAATAAAACCCAGAGGCCCTGTCCGTTTTAAATTACACCAGCTCATCCCAGAAGACTTTAAAATGTATACGTTCCTTAAATATATGGATAATGGACATATATAGTCAAGTAAAGATCCCTTTTCACGCCTTCGGGCGTATCGGGCATATGGGAAGATATGGGAATATATTTACAGACCATCGGCACTAGGTGGGTAATGTGGTCAGCATTACGCCGGTCGTCTTTACTTCCCCAGGACAGTCATCCTGGTACCCATTTTAGGCTGGGTCGACCTGCGACGTCCCATACCATGATAATAATACCGCAGCCAGCATTGGGTTTCCATCTCGGATCGATGGAATTGCAAGTCGGACTCGCAATGCCTACGCCATGGACGCCGCACTGGACATATTTAGTCAATTAATAAAAATATAATGTATCAGTAAAATCACAGAAAATATATTATATAACGCTCTAAAAGTCTCTAAATTACAACTTAAAATGTGTGTTGTCTTGATTTCTTAAATTGCAAAACTAGGACTCGTTTAAGGCCTATTCAGATTGTGAAGCCCTACGCTGTAATCTCCTTTAAGTTATCCCAAAATGCAGCACTGGACCTGAGCTCTCTTATCGAATGCTGTGGTATCGGTAATCTACACGATGCTGTCCATATCTAGGGCAGCACTAGCACACAAAACCGCCGCCATCTTTCTCTGTCTTCCGCTCGTTGAACCAACAGTGTATAGTAATTAATTTAGTCCTGTACATTTCTTGATGTTGTAATTCTGGGTTCTTCTTTGCTCCCCTCTTTTTGAAGTACAGTCTTTGCAATCGAATCATGTTTCACCACGTATCCGAACCAAGCTAGCTTGTGATGTTTAAACACTGCCAGAAGAGGCTGATGTCCTGCAAAGTTGTTAATTTTGTCTCTCACATTTGTATTGGTTTTTTGTTGTTGTTGTAAAAAGCTAATTTTTTAGAATGCGTTTACAAAATTTATGTTCGAAAGTTCTTCCGTTCCATTTCCGCAGTTAGAATCCAACTTTCACATCCATATAAGATGATAGACAACACCGTGCTTCTTCATCGTCATCATCATCACCTTCTTCTTCTCCTCCTGCTTTTTTTTTTCTTAGGTCTCATCGAAAGTCAACTATAGTTTTATGGGGGATGAAAGAAAGAATGGGGCTCATCACTTGTGATGGGCGAACAACGTAGTTTTCTCATCATTTTATAATAGAAAGATGGGTGTTTAGAAAGGCCGAGTGTGAGACGGGCCTGCGCGCCCAATTTGTGATCGTTTGAAAATAAAGTTCGTTCATTCTTCTTCGTCTTTAGTTTGTGTTTGTTATACTTTTCGTTCGGTTTTATATCTCTCCCTGATATTCTTCTTCTTCTGCTCCACTCTTAAAATGGCGGGTGACACATTGTGTTGTGGTTTTTAGCTAGGTTGTAATTTCTGTGCCTTTCGGCTTAATATTTATGAAAGGCAAAACCCTAAATTAGCTGCCTTTTACGACATGCCTTTGTGTTCACCAAATCTTTCCTACCCCGTGGGACCTCGGGACCAACACTGGAGATAGTGTGCTTCCCAAATCCTTCCTCCCCCATGGGACTTCGGAACCTACACGGGAGATAACTGTAGAGTGAAACGCCATCGACATCGCTGCAGATTCCTCATAACTTCTCACTAATTTGACTGTCCACAATTTACTTCTGTACGTCATGATTGGTTCTAAACTCTAAAAACTCTGACCTCAGCTGACAAAGATATATTGACATACGATGTGAACTGATAGAGGTGCACTGTCTTTATAGAGAACAGCACGTTGGAAGCCAATGAGACGCTGACAGAAGGCAGCGACACTCAAGTCACTCCACTACCCACTGAAGGCTACACACGGAAACGCATCAGACCTAGACCTCACAAGGTAAGCAGTGAGTTCTCTCCCTCTCTATTTGTCTCGTCATGATGCATTCAATATTCACGGTGGCACTTTACTTTTTTTTCTTCTTAAGTGCAGTCAGTGTTTATCACCACGGTTATTTCTTCACTATACATGCCCTGTTCTGTTAAGCCCTGTGCTCTTCTTCTTCTTCTGCCTTTCTATCCCCCAATGGAGCATGGGCCCTCAACCAACTCACGCCAAGTCGTTCTATCCTTCGCCATTACATGGAGGTCTCCCCATGTCCTCCCAATCTTCCTAACCTCATTCTCCAGCTCTCTTCTCCATGTGTTTTTTGGCCTTCCTTTATTCCTGTGCCCCTGTGGGTTCCAATGCAAAGACATTCTAGTTATGCTGTTTTCTCAGTGTACGTCCTGTCCAACGTCAGCGTCTTTTCCTCACCTCTTGGTCCACTGGAGCCCGTTTAGTTTTCTCCCAAAGTTCTACATTAGTTATTCTATCATACCATTTAATTCCCTCTATTCTGCGCAGACACCAGTTAATGAATGTCTGTAATTTATTAGTGATTGTCTTAGTTGTTTTCCATGTCTCCGCCCCCATACAATAGTACTGATTTGACAATAGAATTAAAAATTTTTAGTTTAGTATTTTTTTAAATTTCTTTTGTACCTTGTGGTACCGAAATATTTAAGCATCAGTAGCCTGGAGAAAACAAAAGGAGGATGTCGTTACTGAAAGAAAAGGCAGGGGTCGACTAGCACGACGATGGTCACAGGATATCACAGATACCCAGGGCGTGAAAGCTGGCAAAGGATCAAATAGATTTCAGATATGCTGTGATGAGAGCGACGATTATTACTTCTTACCTTGCAGTTTTGATAGGGAATTAAAAAGTTGCAAATACTTTTTTTTTTAAAGAAAAGAAAAGCTAGTCTGATTAAAACGTTTTTCTTATAGCCATTACATATGAAAGAAGTCAGTCTAATTACCAAAACGGTTTTCTTATAGCCATTACATATGAAAGAAGTCAGTCTAATTACCAAAAAGTTTTTCTTATAGCCATCGCTTATGAAATAAGTCAGTCTAATTACCAAAACGGTTTTCTTATAGCCATCACATATGAAAGAAGTCAGTCTAATTACCAAAACGGTTTTCTTATAGCCATCACATATGAAAGAAGTCAGTCTAATTACCAAAACGGTTTTCTTATAGCCATCACATATGAAAGAAGTCAGTCTAATTAGCAAAACGGTTTTCTCATAGCCATTACATATGAAAGAAGTCAGTCTAATTAGCAAAACTGTTGCCTTTCAGCCATCACATATGAAAGAAGTCAGTCTAATTAGCAAAACGGTTTTCTTATAGCCATCACATATGAAAGAAGTCAGTCTAATTACCAAAAAGTTTTTCTTATAGCCATTACATATGAAAGAAGTCAGTCTAATTACCAAAACGGTTTTCTTATAGCCATCACATATGAAAGAAGTCAGTCTAGTTAGCAAAACGGTTTTCTTATAGCCATTACATATGAAAGAAGTCAGTCTAATTACCAAAACGTTTTTCTTATAGCCATCACATATGAAAGAAGTCAGTCTAATTACCAAAAAGTTTTTCTTATAGCCATTACATATGAAAGAAGTCAGTCTAATTACCAAAACGGTTTTCTTATAGCCATCACATATGAAAGAAGTCAGTCTAATTAGCAAAACGGTTTTCTTATAGCCATTACATATGAAAGAAGTCAGTCTAATTACCAAAACGGTTTTCTTATAGCCATCACATATGAAAAGTCAAGTCAGCAAAATGTTTTTCTTAAACCATCGCATATGAAAGAAGTCAGTCTAATTAAAAACGGTTTTCTTATAGCCATCACATATGAAAGAAGTCAGTCTAATTACCAAAAAGGTTTTCTTATAGCCATCACATATGAAAGAAGTCAGTCTAATTACCAAAACGGTTTTCTTATAGCCATCACATATGAAAGAAGTCAGTCTAATTACCAAAACGGTTTTCTTATAGCCATCACATATGAAAGAAGTCAGTCTAATTAGCAAAACTGTTGCCTTTCAGCCATCACATAAGAGTACAGACTCCACCACAGAAAGTTCTCTGCGTGTGCTGAAAATGGAGAGCAGAGCCAATCCTTGTGGCATACCTATGATGTTCCTATGGCCTCTGTGCTTGTGCCCATGGATATTCTAAGGCTTCCTTTTCAGTTACCCATGCCGGGATGAGCTGTGTTTGTTTCAACAATTTATATTGATTATTTTGTCCAGTTTGTTTTTTTCCTTTCTATTTCTCCACTACATTTGTTTCTTGTTTGTTTCATCTGCTAATTCTACATCAACACATAAGGAAGAGACTCTTACGTAAGCTAGTGACAAAGATCAAACAATCCTCTTGATACATTTTCACTTATGCCATTAGGAGTCGTGAGGGAGGAATAGTTTGCAACACATTGCACCATGGGACTCTGAACTGACATAGGGAGAGAAAAAAGAAAGGAACAGACCCACTGCTTTGCTAACAAGCATGAAGTTAAAGATGACAAATTAGGGATTTGCTGAAATGAGATGTGTGGGGCCAATGGGCACAAATATCCCACCCTAGCTGTAAAAAAAAACAACATGCCAACTGCACTTTAAGGGTGTATACAGAATAATAATAAGAAGAAGGTAACAGTGGAAATGCATCGGTTGGTGTGCTTGCCTTTCTAGCCAGCACAGTGGTTATGTTTTAATCTCTAGTTAGACAAAATATTGCCTGGGCTCCCATACTGACCTAGTCTGAATTGGTACTTGGAAATGACATTGGAAGTAAAGGCAGCCAGAATGATGTTAACCATGCCAACACCCACTGAATACTGATTGGGCTGGTCTGTTAAAATATTGTTATGTTTGGCACCATGTAAAACTCCATTATCAAGTGCCTTGCAGACTGGCGTGGGCGATCATGATTGTCCACAATCTGCAGTCTGGAACTCTGTGTATCAGTTTGTTTGACATCCCTCCATGAAGCGCCAAAAGGATGTCAAGAAACTTCTTACGTTGTCTTCCTCTGTCTCTCCTTCCACAGATTATTCCAGTGGTCACAACATGCTTTAGTTTCCTTCTTCTGGTAAAATGACGAGAAAAATTATGTCTGTCTCTTTCTGACACTTGGGATAAACATTGAAACTTGAATTGACAAGCACCCTTTTTGGTTTTGCTGTAACATACGCCTAATGCATCTAAGGGTGTGTGAATTCCTTCAGTATGCAATGTTTCATATATTTCAGCTAACTTTTTTTTTAACGAAGAGCTGACCATTGAGACAAACTACTAATACTAAACTTACAAATTGCCTAAGTGAAACAACAAACAAATGCTAGGTGTGCAACATCCCATAAAGCAGGGCTAAGGAACTGGTGGCCAGCAAGCTGAATCTGGGCTAGCCACAGAGGACTAGCAAGTGGCCTGCTCTATCGTATTAATGATCTTTCTAGATGGGACTCTGGCCCATGGTGATACCCATTTTCAACATTTGGCCCCTGAACAAACTTAGTTAAATAGATCTACTTTAAAGGATTTGTTGCTAATTTTTTAATGTCGTTTATTTCCCCCCCCCCCCTTCTTAAAGGGGACCTACATGGAGACTATTTCAGTGACTATTGTGGGTGTAGTTGCTTTGTTTTTCTTTTTGATTTCAGTATTTTTTGTTTTCTATCCTACTATAGATTATCTTTCTTATGGGATAGGAAACAGTTTTTCTAAAAAACGCTATCTGGATATTCATAAAATTATTTGTGGGCTATAAAAAAGTATTAACTGTAGAAGATGGCATTATTTGGACAGATAGTTTCCTTGGCAGAGCCACACCAGTGATTTAATGGGCCTTATAACAAATGTCTCTCTTGGTACCACCTGTCTCTCTTGGTACCCCTGGCTCTCTTGGTACCACCTGTCTCTCTTGGTACCACCTGTCTCTCTTGGTACCCCTTTCTCTCTTGGTACCACCTGTCTCTCTTGGTACCCCTGTCTCTCTTGGTACCACCTGTCTCTCTTGGTACCCCTGGCTCTCTTGGTACCCCCTGTCTCTCTTGGTACCCCCTGGCTCTCTTGGAACCCCCTGGCTGCCTAGGTATCCCCTGTCTCTCTTGGTACCCCCTGGCTCTCTTGGTACCCCCTGTCTCTCTTGGTACCCCTTTCTCTCTTGGTACCACTTGTCTCTCTTGGTACCACATGTCTCTCTTGGTACCACCTGTCTCTCTTGGTACCCCTGTCTCTCTTGGTACCACCTGTCTCTCTTGGTACCCTTGGCTCTCTTGGTACCCCCTGTCTCTCTTGGTACCCCCTGGCTCTCTTGGAACCCCCTGGCTGCCTAGGTATCCCCTGTCTCTCTTGGTACCCCTGGCTCTCTTGGTACCACCTGTCTCTCTTGGTACCACCTGTCTCTCTTGGTACTCCCTGTCTCTCTTGGTACCCCTGGCTCTCTTGGTACCACCTGTCTCTCTTGGTACCCCCTGTCTCTCTTGGTACCCCTGGCTCTCTTGGTACCACCTGTCTCTTGGTACCACCTGTCTCTCTTGGTACCCCCTGGCTCTCTTGGTACCCCCTGGCTCTCTTGGTACTTCCTGGCTCTCTTGGTACCCCCTGTCTCTCTTGGTACCCCCTGGCTCTCTTTCCCCTTGGCTTGAGCATATTCCAGTTTTCCCCTTCTTAAGACATGCCCGGAGTATGTGGATTGTCCTCTTCTGATATGAATAACCAAGTCTCTTTGTACGTTGACTTCCACAGAGTTATCTTCATGACATTTTTCATCTGCCTGAGGTGTTCTTCAGTAAAACCATATGTGTGCAAATGCCGTTTATTTTCTGTCAGTTTGATGATTGTACATGATTCCCTTCTGTAAATCAAGATTGACTAATTATAACTCTATAGAACTCATATTCTCAACATAGTTAATAAAGATATTGCATAGAATAACATCTCATCATGTGTGCGGCATATATGCTTGTGCTAATTTTATGTGCTGGATCTAGGGTTTTATATTGAAAAAATAAAAAAGTAAAGATCCATTTCCACGCCTTTAGGTGTACCGGACATATGGGTAGAGCGCCCATATTTCTACAGACCATCAGCACTCGGTGGGTAATGTGGTCAGCATTACGCCGGCTGTCTTTACTTTTCCCAGGACAGTCCATCCTGGTACCCATTTTAGGCTGGGTCGACCTGCGACGCCCCGTACCATGATAAAAATCCACGCAGCCAGCAGTGGGTTTCGATCGCGGTACGCTGGATTAAGAGTCGGACTTGTAACACCTAAGCCATGGACGCAGCGTTTTATATTGAAACAATTATAATATTTGACCGCTAATAAAGAATTCAAAATATAGAATTTATTTGGAATTCATATCATTATTTTTAATTGAAAAAAACATAAAATGAAACACAATATTTTTTAAAGTTTTTAGTACTGATATCCAAAATGTAAGTTAAATTCACTTCATTTTTAAAAATAGAATAACATCTAAATAGATACATCATTGACACATAAGTGGGATTCTGTGGCTTAACAGTTATTGAACCTTTCACAATCCTCGATATACAGGGTTTAATTTGTGAGGCAGGAGGTTTAGAAAAAGACCATTCTTGTGCATCAGACAGTAAAACGAGTCACACCACAGAAAAGATTGGCTATTCACCATGTAATATTGCTAAAGACAGTTGTGAATGCATCTATCCACTGCTGCTAACCTCCCTTGCAGAAACGTTACACTTTAAAAAAAAAAAACTGATTTGTCTGTTTTCTTTTATTTTTACAACAGTACTTCTTACATTCTGTCAACAATCAGTGGTGAATATTAACACTATCCAAAGTGGTATTTTTATATCAGCGTTTATATTCACACTATCCGAGGCAGTATTTTTGCAAGGGAATTTGTATTAACATTTTCTAAGGAGGTTTTCTGTTAAAAATTATTAAAGCATTAATATGCACACTATCCGAGGCAGTAATTTATCAAAGTATTTATATTCACTTTATCCGAGGCAGCCCTTTTATCAGAGTATTTATATTCAAGCTGTCCGAGGCTGTATTTATACCAGAACATTTTATGACGTTTATCTGCTAATTCTTCCGAATGTTCAGTTCACAATTCATTTATAATTCAGTTTTAAATCTTTGTGTGAATATTCATTCTGGCAATGTCATTTGATAATATTCCAGACTTCACATTAAAAATATTTTGCAGAGAAGTGTTTGTTGATTGATTGTCAGTCACTGAAGTCATTCAGGGCCTTGTGTACAGTTCAGAGGAGCAGGTGGATCACCGTAGTCTGGTGAGATTGATGCAGGGGGGAGTGATGAGAGGTTGTGGCAGATGCTCGAGGCTCAGAGGAAAGGCAAGATGGAAGTTTAATCAGAATGCTACTGGCACCATTAGTTTCAGAACTCTTCGCTGGCTGCTGAAGATAGGGACGGAGCAATTATGGGAATGCCCTGAGTGCTGTGTAGTCGGCTCTTGAATCAGCTCAGCTCAACTGTGTGAGCTAAACTGCCCAGATTTAACCGGAAAATGCTGAGCTTGTGTTCCAACACTGTCGATTGTATGCTGCCAACAGAGACACAGTCTGGCCTGTTCCCACCTCACTAAAGACAAAGCTGTTTGGTACACGAGGAAATATGGACTGCATGGTAACTTTCATCAAGGCTGGCAGCCTCTTGATATAAGTTTTCTGACAGAAGGATCGAAGAAGACCTAGATCCTCTGCTCAATCCTCACTAATTGAGTTTCTCCAGCTGTGGAAACTTCTGTTCCACTGTCCCCTGAAAACCTTCACTACACCCCAAATTATCAAACAATAGCTCATCACCCAGAGAAGTGGCAGCAGCCAGCCTATCAGCTTTCTCCTTTCCCTGCACACACTGATTATTCAGAGTAGATAATCTATCTATTCCTGATCTGAATCTTTCAAGTGATTGCAAGCCACACTACATCTAGGACAAATCTTCAGTAGCCTGCTCTGAGTCCATTTAAATTACAAGTTGGGCTGTACAGCTTTCCATCCCTAAAACACTGCTAAAAAGATTTCACATTTGAGGTTGTTTACTATTCTAAACATTACACCTCAGAAAACCTGAGCATATAATAATAAAGGGGTTTATAAAACACATGGAGAAAGGGAAATGGCATGAGCTATGCATGACAGTAAAAGTTAGGATAATGGTGTGAACTGGCATTTACCTCAATAAAGGGAGTTGAACAAATAAAAACACACGGAGAAAGGAATCGCAGAATGAAGTTAAAGAATGGGAAGCAAATGGGGTGAGCTATGCATGACAGTAAAAGACAGGATAATGGATGGGCAGAATGAGGAGAAGAAATTCCCAGTGAGGGTTTTGGGGGAGAGGGAGAATAGACTCGCTGCCCCTTTAATAAGCACGTCCTAAAAGTTGACTAATTAGGGGCGTTTTCCACCAAGTCCGAGTGCATCTGCCTGACAGGCAAGGAATTAGTAAACTGCATATAGAAAAGCCAGATCGGTAAAATGGATGAGCATGCAAAACTCAAGTGGTCTGAAACAACCAGAACTTTCCAACAGCCAGAGAACACTGAGAGGAAAAGAAGAGAAGGTTCACAATCCAGTCTTCAGGAAATATTGCCCATAAACACTTTCACCCTAGTAGAAATACACCACTCAGAACTGGAAAATCAATTTTCTCAAATATTTCATTAAAATATTTTATTTACACCAAAAACAGATATTTACCATTATAGAACCACATAATCCATTGAAAACAGATATTACCATAAGCTCTCCAATGTCACAGATGGTACAAAGTTAACCTTTAACACAGAGTACAAGCTCTGCACTACAAGCTGAATTAAGAAATGACATCTCAGAATTCTCATAAGCCCATCTTCAGCAGCCAGCAAACCATTTCCATGGTACCAGTCTGAATGTCCATCTTGCCTTTTCCTTGAGTGTTGGCAAGATCCCTTCATTGGCGACTCGGTTGCTCAGTGGCTCACCGGTAGATGACTTCATTGTTGGTCCGGACTCGGGACAGTATTTGGGTCATCGCATCAGAACTGCAGGGCTATTGGTGGCGTGGCGTGCAAAGATGATAGCCATTTTATTTGGCACACATAACCGAGTCACAATTATAATCTAAACTGGAGACCTAGTGACATGCGCGATGCGATGGAACTGGTGAGATACTTTAAACAGGATTTGTTCGAATTAAAGATGAATGCAATACCACATCCGCCTGCAAATTACAGCTTAAAACAATTCATTCACAAAGATTACAATACTGTCTCACACAGGACCATGCTTTTATTTTAAACATTAAAAAAACAATGAAAACTTAACAGAAAGTTACAATGTATTGAAATAAATAAGTTGATATTAATTATCTTAACATAAACTAAAAATTTAGTTACATATCCTTGACAGAATATTGCAGAACTAACTCCAGAATTATTTAGGTGTTTACAGCTTTACTAAGCAATTTTATGCTCAGTAGTTTGCCACTGCTATCTCTATGGGCAACACTACATACAACTATCAAAATCGAAGAAAAGTGCTCTGCTGGCAAAATCGCTGCAGCTAGAATTTAACAGGCTATAGTGGAATTACAAAATGTGTTCACAATGCCTAAGAGACAGACAACACCAACTTTACAGATTCAACTTCTTATACCAAAGACATTAACTAGGTCTTTTTAATGGTGGTTTAAAAATTGATAACTACAGCAGTTCAGAGATTACCACACTAATCTGCTTATCTCGTGGTCATATGTTTTAATTATCAGGCCAACCATTTGTAAAAATTTACAACCCAGCCTAAATTTTATATCAGGAAATACTCTGTGAAGTAAAGTCGGCCAGCACTTTTCTATTTTCTGTTCTCATGTATAACCAATTTTCTCTCTCCTTGTTTCTCATTGCTTTTCTTTGGACCCTCTCTCTCTCCTTTTCCTTCCCTCTATCTCCCATCTCCTCCCTATTTTGTACCCTCTTCCTGTTCTCCTGTCTTTATTTCCATTAAGCACAACCTTGCTATAATTTTCAGTCTAGAGTTATAGACCAATTATACAAATCTTCGCTGTGGATTCCCACAGATCTGAACCCAAGACCTTCAGACACAGAGGCAAATATTTAAAAACAAAAATGGCTCTATATTGGAAATTGATCTTTTGCTTTTTGTTTTTAAAAAGTGCATTAAAATGTATTGTACCAAGCATAAGGTGCTTTCATGTATAAAAGACACACCTTAATTTTGGGACCGGAAATTTGGAAAACACCAATAATATACTATCAGACCCTGTTTTAGATCCTGTAATTTTGCAAAATAAGTGCTTCTTATACTTGGGGAAATACGGTAATTACCAAGAAAAGTACAAAGAACAAACCAACAGTACACAATATTGATTACAATATAAAGCTAGTTGATGTATCTCTTAAACAACACATTAAACACGAGAACTGTCAAATTGTATGCACATTCTTCTTCTGTATTCATCTCAAGATGTAACTGTGTTGTGCCTGTTTACAGCACGGCTGTGAGATTTGCGCTTATGTATATTCAAGCCTAATCTGTGCTGCAGAGTTCCCTGTGGGTTCTGGGGCCCCATTTAGAGGAGGGGGGGGGGATGGATAAAGGATCCACAGCTTCCTAAAAAGCATGCGATAAAAGATGACTAATTAAGGAATTGCTGAAATCAGATATGTTAGGCCGAAAGACGCATATATGACAGCCTAGCTGTGAACCACAATGCAGTGTGCCAACGCTCTTGAAGGGCAAACACAGAAGAAGACCTGCACAATGAACAGCCAGCAAGAAAGTCAAGTTGAGCCTCTGGAGAGGTGGATGAACAGACAAATGGGTTGCATTTCACGGAGATAAAAACAATCAAATGGAGACATTTGGAGAGCCAAGGAATTAAAAACAGTTGTTAAAACTGACATTAAAAAGGTGAAATATTTCAGCCATATTAAAAAGACACAACACTCTTGAAGTAAGCATACTATAAAAAGATACGAGAGCAGGACGCAAACAGTGAGACAAGTGGGGGGGACATCAAGAGATAGAGGAACAGCAGTCTGTGAGAGTTTACAATCAAGATGAGGGACTTTTAAGTTCTGAGTCCCCATCTGGGAGAAAAAGAACTAACCCACTGCGTCCCTAACAAGCATGCCTTAAAAAATGAAGGTATAGGGGTGTTTCCCTGAAAGTCAGTGTGTACCTGCCTGAGAGGCGAGGAAATGATTCTGCAAACTAATGAGCCAGATCTGTAACAAGACCAAAGTCCAGGAGTGGATGAACAGCTAGAACTTTCTGCCAGAGTTTACAGCTCGTGAAAGCAAAGAAGAAGAAGAAGAGTGACAGAAATAGAGATCCACTGCAGCAAATTTCATTGTGCAGATAGGACCTGATGACTGATGAGACTCTCTCACACCAGTTGTAGCTGCCCTCACAACACAAGCCCAGTCATGATCTCCTGCCCTCACAACACAAGCCCAGACATGATCTCCACAACCATATCGCAGTAGAACTTTGTTGTATCATTATTTGCCATTTCCCATCCTCGGGCGTAAGTCTCCACAACCTCCAACAAGCAACAGCGAACTCTGGGTGAACTCCTGTGAAAATGTTACCAAAAATACATCCAATCATCTGCAAAAGTACGTAAAGGATCTTTTCCACAACTTCAGACATATGGGGCGCATACATATATATTTTATAGACCAACTGGCATTCAGTAATTCATGTATGTGGTCAAGATCAAGCCAGCTGCTGTTACTTCCCAGGACTTTACCTAGTACCCAATTACGACTAATTAAGCTGATCTGGGATTCAAGGTCATATTTGGAGAATATAATGGAATATAGTGGAATGTAATAGTGAATAGTGGACTGATAAGACCAACTGTCCTTAATGACACTGAAACCTCAAGTGCAACTTGAAAAAAAAAAAGACAAAGCCTCATTACATACTTTTGAGAACAGAATCTCATGAAAAATCTTTGGTTCCCATCAAATATGCAAACAGCAGAGAATGGAGAATAAGCAATAAGAAAATTCCTTCTTCTTCTTCTGTTGTCATCTCAGCCCAGTGTCATAGTGTTCTGCATGCACTTCTGGCGTGGCTTGGGTGATGGGTTTGTTCATCTTTTTGCAGGTTTCAGCTACACTATCTATTCACCTCTTTCTTGGTCTTCCTCTCCGTCTTATTTCCAGAAATTCGGCGGTATAAAGTCTCAAATGGAGTTTGGTCTGGCTGCATTCTCACTAGAATATTCCTAACCTGTTTAAATTATCATTAATTACCAGCACCATCAGGGCTAATAGACTACAATTGTTGGGGCATAGAAAGAGAATGGTTGGGGCACACAGAGAGAGAATGGTTGGGGCACACAGAGAGAGAATGGTTGGGGCACACAGAAAGAGAATGGTTGGGGCACACAGAGAGAGAATGGTTGGGACACACAGAAAGAGAATGGTTGGGGCACACAGAAAGAGAATGGTTGGGGCACACAGAGAGAGAATGGTTGGGGCACACAGAAAGAGAATGGTTGGGGTATAGAAAGAGAATGGTTGGGGCACACAGAGAGAGAATGGTTGGGGCATACAGAGAGAATGGTTGGGGCACACAGAGAAATTGGTTGGGGCACACAGAGAAAATGGTTGGGGCATAGAGAGAAAGAATGGTTGGGGCATACAGAGAGAATGGTTGGGGCATACAGAGAGAATGGTTGGGGCATACAGAGAGAATGGTTGGGGCATAGAGAGAGAGAGTGGTTGGGTCATACAGAGAGAGTGGTTGGGGCATACAGAGAGAATGGTTGGGGCATAAAGAGAGAAAATGGTTGGGGCATAAAGAGAGAGTGGTTGGGGCATACAGAGAGAATGGTTGGGGCATAGAGAGAGAAAATGGTTGGGGCATAGAGAGAGAATGGTCGGGGCATAGAGAGAAAATGGTCGGGGCATAGAAAGAGAATGGTTGGGGCACAGAGAGAGAAAGGTTGGGGCATAGAGAGAGAATGGTTGGGGCATAAAGAGAGAGTGGTTGGGGCATACAGAGAGAATGGTTGGGGCATAGAGAGAGAAAATGGTTGGGGCATAGAGAGAGAGTGGTCGGGGCATAGAGAGAAAATGGTTGGGGCATAGAGAGAGAAAATGCTTGGGCATACAGAGAGAATGGTTGGGGCATAGAGAGAGAAAATGGTTGGGGCATAAAGAGAGAGTGGTTGGGGCATGCAGAGAAAGTGGTTAGGGCATACAGAGTGAATGGTTGGAGCATAAAGAGACAATGGTTGGGGCATAGAGAGAGAGAGGGGTTGGGGCATACATAGAGAGTGGTTAGGGCATACAGAGAGAATGGTTGGGGCATAGAGAGAGAAAATGGTTGGGGCATAGAGAGAGAGTGGTCGGGGCATAGAGAGAAAATGGTTGGGGCATAGAGAGAGAAAATGGTTGGGGCATAAAGAGAGAGTGGTTGGGGCATAGAGAGAGAAAATGCTTGGGCATACAGAGAGAATGGTTGGGGCATAGAGAGAGAAAATGGTTGGGGCATAAAGAGAGAGTGGTTGGGGCATGCAGAGAAAGTGGTTAGGGCATACAGAGTGAATGGTTGGAGCATAAAGAGACAATGGTTGGGGCATAGAGAGAGAGAGGGGGGTTGGGGCATACATAGAGAGTGGTTAGGGCACAGAGAGATAATGGTTGAGGCATACAGAGAGAATGGCAGCTGACAGAGAGACAGAATCCACATACAGAAAGGAGGTGAATGGGAGCAGACCAAGAATGCCGAAGGAGACGTACCAACAACAACAAAAAACTCACCAAGTGTTACTGGGCTTACCTTCATCATATGCCTTTCTTAACCCTGTGACCCCAAGAAAACTACATCTAGTCACTTCAGATTGTGACACATTCCCCTAAATTCCAATGTTCTCAAAAAGCATAGTTAAATTCCACAGGTTCTATGTGCACAGTGTGTAGGAGGCCCAGATATAAATATATTCACTAAAAATATTTACACTAGTCCTTTCTGTCCCAGATTTAATGTTAACTCATGTTATCCCAAAAAATTGTATATGAACCCACACAGACCAAACATGTTTTACTTTTGGTTTACAATGTTTAGGATTTAATGGATTAAAGTAATTTTTGTCTATGAGTGAACAAGTTAACAACATTAATAAACAAAGAATAATAATCCCTACAGGTTAGAGAATAAAACCGGTAAGAGTACAGTGCCCTTACTTGCTAATGATGATTCCAGTCCTGATGCGATTCATCAGTTCCTTCATCTGATCTTCCGCATGCTCATCTAAAAGCCTGCCTATACACTGGAGCTGCAAGGGAAACGCTTGATTCAAAAACATTGCAGTGGGAAAGTGACTGGTGCCAACATAGAATAGAAGGAATGAAACAATACATTAGAATTACTGATGTATAGCTTTGGAACAGAAACTAGACACATTTCAGTAAATTTATGATGGAAAGAAGGTGTTGGGTAGGACACGCACTGAGAAAAACTAGATGGCCATATAACTATAGTGTGCTTACAAATTTGTGCCGTTGTATTTTAAATAATTTTTTCGTTAATTACTTATCCTGGGAAGGTGATTTTTTTGCACAGGCTCTTATTTGAGGTCAGCATTACGCCGGCTGTCTTTACTTTCCCAGGACAGCCCATCCTGGTACCCATTTTAGGCTGGGTCGACCTGCGACGCCCCATACCACGACAAAAATCCATGCAGCCTGCAGTGGGTTTCGATCGCGGTATGCTGGCTTAGAGTAGGTAATGATCAACTCTATGTCAAAGTCAGAGAACAGACACATAAAGATGATACCTGACTGTGAGAATGATGGCAGATGAATATGATGTACAATTTGATAAGTGGCACAGACAATTTGGCCAAATCATAGATGGATAGTGCCTTCACTTCATGAACCTGGTTCCATCAATTGTGCCCTCCTTTCTTCTTCTTCTTCACGTTCACCAGCTGTACACTCTGGTGGAAAGTTCTGGTCGCTCGTCCACTACTGAACTGCAGTCCTGCTCCAGAACCTGCGTGTGCATCAGTTTTACAGATCTCATTCGCTTGAATACAGACTGTCGGTTCCTTGCCTCTCCGGCAGATGCACTCCGACTTCAAAGGAAGCTTCCCAATTAGTCGACTCTTACAACATGCTTTTGGGGAGGCAGTGGGTCTATTCTTGTTTTCCCCACAATGGGGCCCCGGAACCCACACAGGGGTGTGCCCTCCTTTGAAATCACTAACTTCTTCTCACCAGCAATTCTTCTTGCCTCATGCTGAACCATCTTGGTGGACACAGGAATTCATATTGCTCTTTACTCTTCAATGAGTATATTCAGTTCCCTCTCCATATCAGGCAAATTTACCGACTGGCCTCTCATGGACTTCTTCTTCCGTAGCATCTTCACTAGGTTTTCTTATTCCAGTCAACAGTCGGATTGTTTTCTTTTTCGTTGGAGAAGGAACAAATTTAATTTCAGCAGCACGATTTCCATTCACATTTGCAAACTGGATTCAACTTTTAACCTGAATTCAGACAATCTATGAAAATGTTTTTCTGCAACATTCATAGGCAAACTGTAACCTAATGAAGCCAAGCGTAAAAACTATTATAGCAGGAAAGAACTTTTATTATTTTTTTTTCTTCATTTTATGTGGCCCTGAACTGGCACTCCCAAATGAAGCCCTGTACAGGATATTTTATAAGAAATTCGGTAAAAATCTACAACCATTGTATAAGACACACACTGTTTTTAGACTATATTTTAAGAAAATAATTATGTGTTATATTTGGGAAAATATGGTATGTTCAGTAAATGAACATTTTCCTCACGACACTGAGTATATGTATATTAAAGTAATGTTTCACAATAATATATATATAGAGAGAGAAAGAGAGTGTGTACTTGTGTGTGTATGTGCGTGCACTCCCACCCCACCCACCCAAAAACCCACACAGAGAGAGATAGAGATAAACATTAGGTATATAATTCACAATGATACCATGTACCATCATCTTGTGCAATGCCGATAAGTGTCGCACTCCCACCCCACCCACACAGAGAGAGAGAGAGAGAAAAAGAGAGAGAGAAACATTAGATAAATAATTCAAAATGATACCATGTACCATCATCATGTGCAATGCCGATAAGTGTTGCACTCCCACCCCACCCACACAGAGCGAGAGAGAGAGAGAGAGAGAGAGAGAGAGAGAGAGAGAGAGAGAGAGAGAGAGAGAGAGAGAGAGAGAGAGAGAGAGAGAGAAAAACATTAGGTAAATAATTCACAATGAATGATAACCATGTACCATTAATCATGTGCAATGCCGATAAGTGTTGCACCTCCATGTACCCCACCCAACACAGAGCGAGAGAGAGAGAGAGAGAGAGAGAGAGAGAGAGAGAGAGAGAGAGAGAGAGAGAGAGAGAGAGACAAACATTAGGTAAATAATTCACAATGATACCATGTACCATCATCATGCGCAATGCCGATAAGTGTAGGTCATCACACTTCACAATCTCACACGGTCACGTCAGTACTCTTAACTCACCCCATCACATGGTCAAGGCATCCAAGTATATTTTTTTCCCTTTCTGTTGCTCTTTTCCCATCTATCTTGCCATTATGATTTACAATGATGTTAGAAGAAACATTACCAACATTAATGTTTCATCTAACCTGGACTGTAAATGTTTCACACACATCCTCATTTATGACAAAGTCACTGCTTCCTTTAATTGGTTTATCATCGCTATCATCTCCATCTCCGCTGCTGTCAGGACCCAGTACAAGGTTCAGGCAGTCAAAAAGCGGATTTATAAGAGGCTTAAAAACCTGTAGAGAAAAATGACAAGTCAAAATTGAGATTTATAAGAGGCTTAAAAATTAGTGAGAACAACCTGAGAAAAAAAAAAGATTTATAAGAGGCTTAACAATTGGTAGGGGAAATTAAGAAGTCAGCATCTGGATTTATAAGAGGTTTACAAACCTGCGGGAGAAACCTGAGAAGTCAAAAAGTGGATTCTAAAAAGGCTACAGGTGGTTTCCACAATGGTTTTGTGTTGTGACCTGCACTAAAAAATGGTGGGTGGCTAATTACATTTGGATTTTACTTGTACTTATGCAGTACTGTGTGTGCACATGCAGCCTTTCGCAAGTGACTGACTGCATTAACAGTGAGCTGCAGTTCTGGTGGGAGACTGTTAGTAATGGCACATCTGACTATTGCCTTACATGTATTCACACTGCGAGAAAAAGCTTCAGATTTTGCTGGAACTGAGAAATTTTTGACTAGTTTTTTTTTAGATAGGACAATGAATGACATTTTGAGAGATTTCCACTGGCATGGCAACGGATTAGTTATGAAGTGATTCGACTGCAGTGAAGCTGGAATCTCGGCTAATGACCAACTTTACTAATTCAAAAGTAAAACAGAAAACTAACCTCATTTGTAGCAGTTCTCATGATACCAAATATTTCACACAGAAAGGCGAGGAATCCTCCAAACCGTGCTGGGTTTTTCTCAAGCAATTCATTCCTTTCTGCAAAATTGAATTATGCTTTCAGTGTGTACGATAATTACACAATTCAAACATACATCACAAAATTTGGCCCAACATACATCATTAAATGCATATTATTTCGGTAACAAACAAGAGTTACCTAAACCCAGAGCTTTTTTTATTGGAAAAAAGGTGCCAGTCATTACTGGGGGGGAAAAGGGGGGGGGGGGGGGGGGTCACGCCCACTAGTCTGTAGTCACAATGTGTCTCTCACAATGTAACAAGCGATTTAAAGCAAACTAAATCAAATGTGCCAGTACTCAACACAAAGTTACTACAGCAATGGCAACAACAAAACCAACATTAAAAAACCTGCTTAAACAAATTCCATTCTTTGAAGTCCAGACCTTCAAACAGTACAGTGGTTCCTCTGGATTTAAACATAATCTGTTCTGAGATGGCATTCAAATTCCCAATTGTTTGTGTTTAAAGGCAATTTTTCTCACTTTAAATAATGGAAACGAAACCAATCTGTTTCAGAGTCCATCAAACGTATTAATCCTAAACATAGTACAATGTTGAATTAAAATAATAAGATTATTTGGCACAGCTATAATAAATCCTGGCCTGTGACAATCCTTATTTTCAAAATTCTGGCCCCTGAGTAAACTTTGCTGAACAGCCCTTGCCTAGTATTTGGTCATGAGAAGGATAAAAAAGCTGGTGGTGAAAAGAGACTCCAGACAGTTTGACATCGGGGCAGGGAAGATCATTTGTGTCGAACGTGACTGAAAGTACATGAGACAGAAGGCCATGGACAGACAAGTCTACAAATGCCACACAGTATGGGCTATAAGCAGAAGAAACTGGTAACCACATAATAAGCAGACAATCCACATTCTTTGGACACAATGTAAACAGAGAAAACTAGTGTACATCATAAAGATATGGAGGGAGGAAGAGGGGCATGGAGAGACAAAGTCAGATGTCTGGCATCAAGAAACTTTGTTATCAGTAATTACTGACAGTACATGAGTCAGAGACAGCGTCTGTGGCATACGGCTTGTAAATAAGTTTTAAATTCTGTCCCAATTAATTTAGTAGTAGACCATTTTGCGATAATTCTGACAAAGATAAACACATCGAACTGTCAAGAAAGCAACAGCAAACTTCTGATTGTAAAACTGCCTAGTCAAATCTCAAACAGCTGACAAACGTTGGTGCTGTTTTGCGATGTACTTTAAAGGATATGCATAATTAACTAGCATAAGACAGAAAGTTGTGGACACATACACTGACCAGTACCTCACAGCATGGACTTTCAGAAAAGTTAGTTAGTTGACAGATTAACCTTGCTGCTCATCAAATGATTCGGTCTGCAAGGGCTCGGATCCTGTCATCAGTAAATCCCGCAGCGTGTACGGCTGACAACACTTGTTCCTTGTTGGTTTCTTATTCTTCTTTGGCTGCAAGTATAGTGCTTTTTTTCTAGCCCCACCCATTTTAACAAGTTTTCTTGCTGTGTGGTCATGGTTGCAGATTCACAGTCATCACTTGGTTTGCTCAAATGTCTGACTTCTAATAGAGCATTTAATACATTAGCTTGGTCCATGGCACGTCCACCTTCCACAGTAGCTTTATCTGCAGGGATATCAGCTTATCCATTTCCTTCCTCGCCAGCGTGCTCTGGCACACATATGAAACTAACATGTGTCAGCCCCGACCACCTCAGAGACTCAAAACACTGTCTTTGAACCAAGCTAATTTTACTGCAGAAAAAGAAGAAGGTTCTACACTCATCCAGGCTCACCTACCTTTATAATCAGTCTGCACAAGGCTAAGAATACAATTTCTAAATTTTGTGTTGCCAACTTCTATGCTGGTCAAACCGTCACAGATTTCGGAACCTCTCTTGGCTAACGCTGCATCCTCTAGACATCTGTGAAGAATAAACGTACAAATCTGTGGCATGAACAACATACAAAACAAAAATAAAGAAAACAATAAAAAAGGAAAAGACTGTTCAAAGACTAATTATAAGATCTTGTCAACATCAACAAACAAGTAAAGAATGTAAGTACAGTAAAGGATTCTTTTCTAGGTTTTCAGGCATATAGAGCATTCAGGGCTAGATCTACATTTTATAGACCAGTCAGCACTCTGCGGCGATGTGGTCAACATCACATAAGCTGCCCTTCACCTTTCATACCTTTACCTGCTATCCATTTAATGCTGAGTCGGCATGGGAGCCAAGGTCATTAAAAAAAAAAAAAAAAGTTCAGCTCCATTAGGACCTGTTATACAGACTCTTCTGTTGCTGAGGGAGCCACGATGATGTAGTTACCAGACCATCACCTGCAGATCTGAAGGTTGTGCATTCAGGCCCTGACCAGGAGCACATTTTGTTGTTGTTGTAAATGACCTTGGTTCCCAGGTTGACCCAGCCTCAAATAGGTACCAGGTAAAGTTATGGGAATTAAAGATGGCATGCTTGATGTTGACCACATCATTCACTGAGTGCCAGTTAGTCTATAGCAGTGTTTCCTAAACTTGTCTTAGTCGCTGCGCCTTTTTCCAATTAAAATTTTTCCACAACGCCCTAACATAAGTAAAAGTATGACTCTTTGTATGTAAGAGATTAAATAAAAAATAAAACTCGTGTATCTTCAAATTTTTTGCGGCACCCCTGTGAAGAGGTTGCGGCTCCCTGGGGCGCACAGTTTGGGAATCACTGGTCTATAAAATATAGGTCAAGACCTATATTCCCAATACATATGAAGACATGAAAAGGCTCCTTGCTTTACTTTTACTTCTATCGCTGAAGCACCATCATTCTGTGTTGTACCTTTATATGTCACACAGGGCTTGCAGTCTTAATCCCTCAGTCTATTCTATCCTTTTGATATCCTGAACAGAATCCTTCCGTGTGGGTTCAAAGGCCTCATTGTGGGGGAAAGGGAGGGGAGAGAACAGCTGCACAGCCTCCGTAACAAGTATGTCCTGAGGTGAATAATTAGAAGCCTTTTCTTCAAAGTCAAAGTGCATCTGCCTGACAGGCAAGGAACCAACAGTCTGTACACACACAAAAACCAGATTTGTAACAAGGATGTGCAAGCAAAACTCAAGTTCCGACAAAGTCCAGAAATGACTGAACACCCAGAACCTTCTGCAAGAGTTTATAGCCAGTCAACATGAAGAAGTAGAAAAAGGACTGAATCCGGTCCAGTACCCAAGGTTTCTCCCGAAAAATTTTTTTGTCTTAGGGGTTTCCTTTGGACATCCTTGCTTCCTCAATCTATCTGTGTCTCATTTCAATGCCTGTTTGGTGACTCTCTGTCTACTTCTCCTCTTGATGTGCTCAGTACACTGCCATCTTGTAACTGTTGATACCAGCAATTGTTCAGACATCTGTTTTATTTTATCGCTTTACTTGAATGCATCATCCCCTTTAATGTCATAAATCTCTTAAGGCATTTGTTTCTAAATGCACTTTTGTTCCACAGGTCTGTTGGTCTTCCAACTTTCACTGCCAAATGTTAAACCCAACATTACAGTGGAATTAAAATCACTTAACTTTGTCTTTAAAACTATATTAATGGGAGTTCAACATTTTCTATTGCTGAAGTGTATATACATTTTTAAAGACTGTGTATATAGGAAAGATATAAATTCCTTACTTATTATAAATTAGAGAGGCAAGCACTTTGACGTCAGATTCTGTCCGAACAAAATTCCTGGCACATACAAGCACACGTTTCACGTCGTTCTGTTCACTGTAAGTTCTGGAATCTTCTAAGATGGACTTGATGTCGTTTAATGAAAGAGTTGGATGGCCACCTCCATCACCTTCACCAGGTGTTGGTGAGTTAATGGAGTTCTCCTCAGCCACGGCAGCAGACTTGATGGCTTTCTCTGCAGGATCATTGTCTGGAATCTTCACAGGAGGAGAAATACATTTACTACACCAAGAACCAAAAGATTTTTAAATAAAAAGTTTAAAATCAAGACAATCGACTTCACTGCACTAAGTCTGATACCATTATGGCTCAGTCTCTCTCCAGAGAATAACTATTTCCTGTGTGATTACTTTGTTTTGAGTTGAAGCTCGAGGTCACAACAAACCAGTGCAAGAATACATGCAGCCCGAGGCTGAAGAGACCAAGGAGAAAAGACGAGAACTCTATTCGTGATCATTTGTGAACCAGAGGTCCAAGATTGTGGTCATAGTACTGAATATTGTTTGAATGATATGCATAATAGTTTAGCTGTGATTGTTTTCGAGAATTATATATGTAGTCAAATGGTGAATTTGTACATGACAAGGCAGATGTGGTTAAGGCCCTGTGGGAAAAAGCAACAGAATCAGTAGAGAAAGCAGATTATTATGAACTGGAGATAATGTAACCAGAGGGTCTGGCCGGCTTACTACACTAAGAGGAAAGGCAAGACAGACATATAACCAGATTGTGACCGGCACCATCAGTATTGGAACTGAAGATGAGGACGGAGCACACATGGGAATGCCCCGAGTGCAGTGATGCCAATTCTTGTCTCAACTTAACTCAAATGGTGTTCATGTGGATGCAAGAATAACTATAATAAAAAGAACACCATTTACAGAGGAACATCAGCATTATTCTGCTTTCTCTTACTGGAGCTTTGTTCTCATGTCTGACAGTAATAGGAAACAGCATAGCTATTCAGCTAAGTTCACTCAGTGGCCAAAAAATGTTGATCGTCATGGGTAAACTGTTGCATGACAAGCTAGATGTTGTATAGGTCCTTTGGGAGAGAGTCAAAAGTGCGGAAGCATGAACAGATCACCATGGTCTGAGGAGTTTGATGCTACATAGAATGAGATGAGGCGATCTGGCCGGTGCTCAACACTCAAAGGAAAGGTAAAATGGATATACATTCACTCTGTTACTGGTGCTATTGGAAACAGAACTCTGTGTTTGCTGCTGAAGGTAGAGACTGAGTGCTTATGGGAATGTCCTGTGTGCTGTGATGTCGATTCTTAATTCAATGCTTAACATTATTGGCAAACACAAAAGAAGAAAGAAATAATTTAAAATTGTGTGGAAAACCGAGATAACTACTTTCTGACTTTTCTCCATCATCATCTTGAGGTGCCGTTTATGTTACATAGAACTCACAGTCTATTCCTTCATTCTATTCTATCTTGATCGATAATTTTCTATATCATGGAAAGAATCCAGTTTAGCTTTCTTGGTCTCTTTCATGAACACTGATCTTAAGATTTCCTTCAAGCTTCCTCATTTTCTCGATCCATGTGTTTCCTATTTCAGTGCCTGTTTGGTGATCCTATATCAGTGTCTCCTCATGATGTGTTCTCTATATCCCCATCTTACTCGTCTTATAAATGTTGATAACAGTAGTTGTCCTGACAGTTCTCTTGTTTCTTTACCTGTTTTGTTAACTTAAAAAAAAAAACCGCTTACTTCTTACCAATTCAGATTCTTCTGCTTTAGCTATTAGCCCTCCAGGTGTTGTCAAAACTGCATCCAGAATTCCTCTTGACCGTCCTCTGCCACGTCCAGCCATTCTATAGTCTCACCTGCCCCAAAAAAAAAATTAAAAAAAATAAACATGAATGCATGACTCAGGAGTATCTTCTGAGGTGAAATGTTAAAGATAAATTATTGGTGAAGACAATGTACGCTCAGGAAAACTTGTGGTTCGTCCATCACATATGTTGGGGACCACTCTTTCTTTCAGCTGTCATAAAACTATAGTTGATTGTGATTCCGCAGATAAGCCCAATATGGTGAACAGTGTCTGTAGATAAAAAGCCCCAAATGTGACAAGTGATGAATTGGTTAAAAGTGATGAAGAGTTGCACAATTTCACTGACCTCACTCTTTCACCTGTGTCCATCTTCTGGAAAACTCAGACAAGACTTGAAGCACTAATAGGTTCAAATAAAAACAGAGAACTGAGTAACCCTTAAAGATTATATTCTTAGAATTTTGGCAACTTTCAAGATAATAGTGTTCCACTGTGGACATATAGCACATCCACTGTGCTACAGGGAGGCATAAGAATCATCAATTGTGCTACAGGGAGGCATAAGAATCGTCTATTTTTCTAGAAGGAGGTATAAGAATCATCAATTGTGCTACAGGGAGGCATAAGATTCATCCACTGTGCTATATCGAGGCTTAAGATTCATCCACTGTGCTACAGGGAGGCATAAGATTCATCGACTGTGCTACAGGCAGGCATAAGAATCGTCTATTTTTCTAGAAGGAGGTATAAGAATCATCCATTGTGCTACAGGGAGGCATAAGATTCATCCACTGTGCTATATCGAGGCATAAGATTCATCCACTGTGCTACAGGGAGGCATAAGATTCATCCACTGTGCTACAGGGAGGCATAAGAATCGTCTATTTTTCTAGAAGGAGGTATAAGAATCATCCATTGTGCTACAGGGAGGCATAAGATTCATCCACTGTGCTATATCGAGGCATAAGATTCATCCACTGTGCTACAGGAAGGCATAAGATTCATCGACTGTGCTACAGGGAGGCATAAGAATTGTCTATTTTTCTAGAAGGAGGTATAAGAATCATCCATTGTGCTACAGGGAGGCATAAGAATTGTCTATTTTTCTAGAAGGAGGTATAAGAATCATCCATTGTGCTATATGGAGGCGTAAGAATCATTCACCATCTACAGAGAGACATAAGAATCATACAAGCTTAAGTTCACTAGTTTGCCATTGCAAACTAACCGACTGGAACTCCTACCATTGTCAAAATTAAAGCAAGGCAGTCTGCTGCAAAACTGGCTGTAGTTGGAATCATAACTGGGTATTTCAGAACTGTGAAGCATATTCGCAAGCCAATCGTTTGATTGAGGCCTGCACAGGACATGACTGTACTGCACTTAACTTTGTACTGAAAACTGACTAAATGGGAGCAAAAAGCGGCTATCTTCCGAATAAACGGTCCCAAATTATTGAGGCTGAAAATATACCCTAACAGGGCCTCAGTCACATGTGGACTTCCGGCGACTACCGCTACCGCCAAAGTATCTCTCACGCCGCTACGCGCTGGGCTAAACTAGATGGCTGGGTCTCACGAGCAAATAAAATGAAGGAAGCTGCAGAAGATGCGTTAGCTGCTGCTCCTGAGTCCCAGCCATCTAGTTTAGCCCCGCTCCACGCCACGCAGAGGGGCGTAAGAGATACTCTCGGCGGTGGCAGTAGTCGCCGGAAGTTCGCAATTTTCACGTGACTGAGGCCCTGTTAGGGTATATTTTCGGCCTTGATACTTTGGGATTGTTATTTGATGGATAGCCCAAAAAGCAAAGTGATAAATGAAATGTTGCCATAACAATACTTCTCTACTAATATTTCTCTGAAGTATATTGTACAGTCATTGATATCTTGAGACTCAACAATTACAGTATCACGTCATAGCAGGCAATCAAGCGTGTCCTAGCTCAGAAAACCGTTGAAAGCGATTATTTGTTAACCTGGGTACGCCAGGCGTCCCAAGCCCCAAGCAAGAAAAAAAAAATTAAAAAAGACACACAAAAAGAGTATACAGCATGTGGAAATGAGAAAATGAATGATGCACAGCTGGTTAATAATATAATTTGTCAGCTCAGGCAAAATTATTGTCCGTGTAATCTTTATAGTCGAATTTGGTAAATAGATTATTAATTACCGAATTTACATTAACGGCTGCAGCTTCCAATGTTTGGGTTGCCGTTGCGAGATCGATGTTTCGTTTCGATAATTATTTTAGACAATTCCTGCCCTGTTATCAGCGCTAGCCTTAATTATTTGAAAATTCTACTTCTTCAATGAAACCCAGCATATCGTCGTTAGCAGCCTTCTTGTTATACTGTAAAAACTACAAAACAATTCAAACCTTTGTATGCTGTATTTCAGAAAACGATGACAAACATTACACAGAAAATCAACCGGTAATGTTTGGTTTCGTTGCTTTCTCAGATAGGCAGAATAGTTTTACAAATATCGGGAGAAGCTAGCCGGTGATAGTTAATTCATGGATAGTTTCGTAAATCTAATTGTCAATCCGACGTCGTCTTCGCAATGAAGGTTGGCTGCAATCTGGGCTTTTTTCTCTGGATAAAAAAAAAGCTCTGTTGCTTAAGTGTGTTTAAAAAACAAACACTTTTACTCACCTTAAAGTGTCTATTACAAAAGCTGTGTAGAAAAAAAAAACTGTACTTTCATATTAGCCGACCACAAAGACGGGAAATCACATGTCACAGGACAGTCAAATATTTCAGGGGTTTTTAGATTTGGCGTATAGTTTAGGTTAGGTTTAGAGTTAAGGTTAGGGTTAGGGGTAAGTTAACGCGCCAAAACCTTGGCCTTTGGGGAAACGCGCTAAAACACAGAAAACCTGCTCTTGCCACCCATTAAAATATTGGATTGTCCTGTGGCGCCATTTGTGGTCGGCGAAAAAAGAAAGCCAAAAAAAAAAAAAAAAAACGATGCCTCAAATTGGTGCCTACAAAAAAAAAAAAAACAGCTATAGGTGGTCTCTACTACTTTGCTCTTTCGCCGGGGTCACCTACTGACTCGAAGGTAGGCAACTTCGTCGCCGACTGGACAATTTGGGTCTGTTTCCTGTGATAGCAACAACACAGCAACAACAACACATTGTCTCGCGACGTGATTATACACTGACTGACAGACTGCTGTTGATCGATGTCTTGATGTTGTCCTAACATTGTTTTTGGGGTGGGGGGGGGGGGGCTGTCAAATTATAGGTCTCTAGCCTAACAACAATGGAGAGACGATAAATGCAATAGTGCAAGCATATAACAAGATCTACCAGTCTCTCTAAAAAGATACTTCTGGACTTGGTAGAGGGAAAGAGGAGACGTTACAGATTAAAAAAAAAAAAAATGGACACAGAACTAGGCTGAATGGACAAGCAAAACGTCCATTGTATCTAACTGAGAGAGATGGAAACAACGGATCAGTCAGTGGTAGCTGATTACCCAATGACACGCTGTGTTATGGGACTATGATGATGGTGGTGATGATGATAATGCTGCTTCTGCTGCTGTTGATGATACAAAGTGTTATAACATGCCATGTGTGGTTGTTTTTGTACGAAAAGTTATCTCATCTTCTTTTTAAACTCTCCCTACCGTTCTGCTGTGGATTCGTTCTCTCTCCTAACTATCCTATCATGATCCTTCACCTGCATCTTTACCAGTTGTCATACCATTGTGATTTGTGTGTAGTGCTTAGGCACCAGTTAATTTGCAGTAGATTTTGATCAATGATTGTTATGCCACATGATGATGATGTGTTGTATCCATTATCAAATGGTTTCCTTAATGTCAGTTTCGCAATTCAGCTTAACTTTACCACCACAAAATTATGTCATGATTATTGTGCACCTGAATACTCAAGGATCAAAGAGATCCAGGGCTCCAGATGTCTGATCTTCCGCGCAGTGGAACACACTAGCTGTTCTGCCTTGAAAGCTTGGTCTATTGAGTACGTGTACCTTTAGGGTGAAAGGGGCATACTCAGGTTATAAGTCCTTTGATTAGGAAATCCCTTCTACAGTCAAGACCGTTGTGCGTGACCAAAGAGGCACAAAACATTAACGGATCTAGAAGATCTGTCAGGACATATATTTCCTCTTCCCTAGCTGGCAGGCAATACTAGGGTGACCGTTTACTTCCTGAATTCAAAGAATATTTTTTATGGATTTTGTACGTAATAATAAACAGAATCATCGCTGGGGCTACGGGGAGAATGTTCTGTGCTTGATACCATCTTCAGGTGGCAACGAAGAGAGTCTGAAGAGGAGAAGACGAGTAAATGGAGAGAGAAGAAGGTACAGAAATAGAACCAGAACCCGGAGAGTGAGGCTGAAAATGGAGCGTCTGGGATTAAAGCATATTAGTGTGGGTTATTGGAACTGTCGTAGTGCCAAGCAGAGAGGACCTGTACATGAGAGACTTTGATATCATCATGCTGCAGGAATTAAACATGGATAGATATGATTGTCATGGATTGTCATCATCATCATCATCATGTAGCAGGTCCTTTGCAGAACGTCGCTCTCATCACGGTCTGCCTGAAAGAAACTCGATCTTTAGCCAATTCTCCCGCCTCATGCACTTTCACACTAAATCCTGTGCCCATCTTCGTGTCGGTCGGCCCCTGCCACTCCTTCCTGGTACCATGCCTTATGCTATAATTTTTTCCAATCCGTCGTGGCGCTTGATATGACGAAAATATTTCAGTTTTCATGAAAGGATGCTGTTTATTAGCCAATCTTCCTTGATGTTCAGATCTTTTGAGATGTCAATATTTCTCATCTTCTTTGTCCAAGATATTCTGAGAATCTTTCTATAGCATTTCAGCTCAAAAGCCCCTATTCTCCTTCTTAAGGACTTAGAGATAGTCCACGACTCACACCCGTATGCAGCCACAGGGAAGATGCATGCTCTCAAAATTCTAATTTTTATCTCCTTGCTGGTGCTTAACCATAGACTTTTAAGGCTGTTCAATTTGTCATGGATAGATTAGTTAT